TAACACGTGGTGGTATACCACAGGGGAGCAATGCCGCTTCAACCCTATTGGCCGTAGTGTCTAACGGTGGCGGCCATATTGCGCAGACCAAGAACCGGCCGCCGCCTGTGTTGAGGAATAGGGAATTCGGGACCTTGATTTACGTTTGCGGCCGCCATATCCGTTACGTTCAAGGTACGTAGATACGAAAACCGGCATCTTACGCAGAATTGAGTGGGGAACACGATCGTATCTTCAGAATTCCTCAAATTCACTCGCCGGACCTACATTTGCCCCGGCCGAGGGGGTTGATTGAACCCACCTCGCTAATGCGCCGCTAATTAAACTAGAATTAAGCGGTTAAGTGGTCATATGCGGCAAAGTAAAATGCAGAGTGACTGGTAGGAACCCGCTGTAAGGGTCTCAGGTCAACCGGTGACCTCTGAGGTCAGGTCAAGTGATCAAAGGCATGGGTTCAGTTTTTGGTAAATAACGTCGCCAAAAATAGCCGTAGAGCCGTGATTTTGGCATCATCGTGTTCAGCTAGCTCAGGCGCATCGAGTGATATACTTTTTGTTCGGGTCAGGTCAACTTAGGGTGTTGACCTCAGGTCAAGATCAGGTCAGCACCCCCAGGTCACGAAGCTGGTCGAAAGAGGTCATGTCGCATATCATTCGATTCGGCAGGTCTTCCTGAGTCCATTGGTGGCTTTCCCGACTCGCTAGCTCAATTTGATCGGGAGTTATTAAAGAAAAGGCTATGACCCTTGTGACGTCACAGATGACGTCACGCAAGGGCAACAATGCAAATGTGAGGCATTGGACCTTGCAAGGAGTGCATGAAATCACGATTCTATATGCTTGAGATAGTTTCAGATCATTCCCGGCGCCAAAATAGCAATTTCCATATTTCCCCATTGACTTATAAGGGTTTAACGTATAAGTTCCCTGTAGTCGAGGATTTTTTAAGATGTCATCTTGTTCTCCACTCAATTCTGCGTAGGATGCTGGGTTCCGTGTCTACATATCTTGAACGTAACGGATGCAGCGGCCGCAAACGTAAATCGAAGTCCCGAATTTCCTATTCCCCAACACAGGCGGCGGCCGCTTTCTGGTCTGCGCAACATGGCGGCACCGTTGGACACCATCTGGCGGCCGATGCGCATTCCACATTATAGAGTTCAGTGTGGTATACCTACACTGCTTTGCACGCAACGTCTGCCGCACTTCGAGGCTGCCAAATTTTGCTTCGAAATAAGTCGCTAGGAACAGCGGGGATCCCAAAAGTAAACAAAAGCAAAAGCCTAATATTTTGAAAACCAGTGAATATTTTTTTCGGTGAAATTAGGTAGACATTCATTTTTGATCGTTCCGAGCAAAGGGACATCACTTGCATGCCAATTCATTAACTTTTTTGAAGGTGGGAGCAAGACTATAGAACTCCAGGTAAGGACACCAGCCGTTTGACCTTGAACGCCGCCGGCCGGCCGATGACGACATTGGAGGCAAGCCGGCTCGGCGGACACATAAGGCGAATGCATAACGGAGGGGCGTTGGAACGCTGCGGGAGCGGGGGAGATATTTTAATGTGGTTGCATACCACCATTGTAATGTTGATTGATTTACAGACTGCATTCTTTCAAACCTCGATGCATCCTAGGCCTGGATGGTGCGTACTGCGTACATTCGTAGAACGATCACCCCGTCCGACGTCCGTGGTCGAAGCTGTCTATGTATCTAAAGGCACTAAAACGGGTGCAATAACGGCGACCTGATCCCGTCTCTGGCGAATCTAGAGGGGTCGTAAGGACCCAGGCCGAATGTGACCGTCTATTTTTAACCCTATTAGTGGCAGGGGGGGGGGGGTTGTTTTCATCCACCCCTCAGGTTTTTCGGAAATATCTCCGAAACCGCTGAAGCTACGATGCTGAAATTTTCTGACTTTTCCTAAAACTAAATTGGGCACATTCCCTGAAAATTTCAAGTTCATAACTTTACCAGGGGTGGCGCCAGAGCACTGGAAATTGGGGGGTTCTATTCGTGAAGCGAGTCATTTGGGCGAAGATCACGATGCTGATGTATTATAACTGTATGCACCAGTTTTACGAACAGTGAATGAAAGGTATCATGTGATAACATATACAAAGTTATTGTGCATCCTCTTTTGACACGTTTTTGCTATAATAGGTGGATCCAGGCGTCCAAAAAGGGGGGTTATGTTTTACCTCCCAACATAGGTGCCCTGACACCACCTATGCATGACCAATACAATTGTAGTCGTTCTCTCATAAGAAAATTGTAACATAACAAGACCATTACCACCCTTTTTAGAAACAGTACCAACAAAAACCTTATTTACTATACATTTTGTGTACCCCCAATCTCAATGATCTGTATCCGCCTATGATTTTTGAAAATGCATATTTTTAGGATCCATGTGAATTCCTGGTTCATTCTCTATCGATCGGCAAAAGTTGCGTTAAGATTGGTTCAGAAACCTGGCCGTGATAAACAGTCTAAAATGTATCTGCAATTTGCCCGTTTCTACCCCCCTCTACCCCCCTATTGACATTTTTTTTTAGAAATGTAGATCACGTTGAGCGAAATCGAATGCCGTTTGAATTTTGAAAATCGGCCCGTTAGATCTCGAGATATCGGGGGGGGGGGGGGTCGTAAACAGCCCCCCTGCCACTAATAGGGGTAGCCAGGAGCCTGCCACTAATAGGGTTAAGGAAAAGGGGTGGGTGAATTGACAACCGATGGTTTAAGAGACGATGAGAAGGGATCCCGTCGTCGATTGTTGTTTGACAGACAACACATGTTGTACTGGGCGTATAACCATCAGAGGTAATGCCTGAACGTAGGCAAGCATAATTGTTCTGTCATATTGTTTAGGAATATAAAGTCGTAATAGAGATCATGGAGGATATGATCTCTACATTTCGGGAATTCACTAATTACTGCGGCTCATAGGGGCACCGCCGGAGCTGTTGTTTTACCATCGGTCCCAGGCAACTCCACGGAGCTGCAGTACCCGGCGGCTAAAGCGGCCACCTCGTCGACTCGCAGGTCCTGTGGGATTCCGTGATGCTTCAGTGCTTCACCCACAGAAGCACGGGTATAGCAGTAGGATGTGGGGTATGGTGTCTGTCCACCTCTTCATTGTAGGTGCAACGTATATACAGCGCCTGGTCCCGCCGAAGCTCGGTATCGACCGTGACTTATTCACAACTGGCGGATCCAGGAAGCGGTCTTAGACACTGCGGGGGCTTACCCCAAAAAGGTTTCTTCGAATTAATCTAAAAAAAACTGGGATTTCGATTTCTTGCGCACTGCTGTGCAGTGTGATTAACCAACATTTCCTCAGAAAAGTTGTTCAGTTTTCTTTTATTCTCGAAAAGCGATTTCGGGCGCTGCCCCGGTTGTGGGGGAAGACATTTGCCCAAAATGCCTTCCGCTGGATCTGCCAGTGGGGTGCCCCACCCCGAGCTTGACTAAAAACGTCTTCAAACCCCACCAGAAACCGATGGTAAGGTGAATTTAATCTCTGTCTGCCCGCCTAAATATAGGTACTACGCATGGTACGGCACCCGGCCCTGTCGGAGCTCTGTGCCGATCGTGACATTTTCGGCTTTCCCCATCCCAAGCTCGATTAGAAACGCTGTCCTTCCCCACCCGATTGCTGATGTCCATTCAAATTCAATACCTCATCTCTGTCTGCCCGCCCATAACCCATTCATTGCACACCGTTCAGCGCCCGGCCCCGCCAGAAGTATCCTAGCGCGCTGAGCAGTTGTCTCCATGCCGCGTCATCGCGAGGCCCCGCGCGGCCCATAACTGAATACATTGCGCGAATAGCCGTGTCGCCCCCCTGGGTGGGAGGGTCCTTTTAAAAGGGACAAATCATGACACCATACAAAATGTCCCAGGACCCAGATTTATTTATCACGTGCATTGTTTTTTGCACGCGATTATTCGATTTAACCCTCGCCCATGTAGGGGGGGGGGGGTTGGTGCAACCCCCCCTGAGGCTTTTCGGAAATGTTGCAAAAACGGCGGCGCGCAGCGCCGCCAAATTTTGAGTACCTTATGGGGCAAACCTTGCGCATCTTTTGATAAAAAAAATTTGACCGGGTCATGTCAGGTCACGGAGTTATGACGTCACAAAGGGAACAGCCTCCGGCCGGATTTTCACAAACTGAGTGCCAACGCCCGAGGTTTCCTGCCGGTGGTACGGACATCGGTTGATGGATCGTGATGAAACTTCCCATGCATGTTGGGGCAAGCATTGGCTATCATATGGTATAAGAAACTTGACCGGGTCAGGTCAGGTCACGGAGCTATGACGTCACAAGAGGAACAGCGTCCGGTACTATTTTTGAAAAGCGCCCGAACCACTATTTTGCTAATTCTTGTCACCTCAATGGGAATATGCAGCAATATTAGCTTCTATAGGGAGCAAATGGACCTCCCAAATCCAAAAATACAATCAGATTTCAAAAATTTAAATTTTGATTTTTCGAATTTCTGCCGCCGACTGTGACCTTGCCGACTTCCGGCGCTCCCAACACGCCATTTTTAGAGCTAGGGAAACGAAATACATACCAAACGATAGAGAATTGATCAAGGAACACGATAGTGAAGGTTTCAAGTCGATATCTTCCACCGTTTTGCCGCAATCGCCGCGGAAAGTCGAAAAAGTCTATTTTTCCGAAAATTTGACCTTTGACCGGTCAAAAGTAGGTCAAATGTTGACCTAGGACCAAAAAATATACCACCAATCGCGAGATCTCGGCGAGAGCAATCCGTTGGTCTTTTCCGCTAAGCTCTACGACGCTCCGTTTTCAAACGCCAAGGGGGAGGGTCGCACCAACCCCCCCCCCCCCTGCATGGGCGAAGGTGGCAGATCGCCGTTTACGGGCGAGGGTTAAGAACCACCATTGACGTTTACTTTTCAACAGTTAAAAAAATCACCCTGTAGTTCACATTTTACCAATTCTGCCTTTCAGAGTACAGAGGCCGTTGTTCGGTACACATAGTTGTCTATTTCCGTCTTCGACTGGCCGGTGTCATACTTTTCATTGACATTGTCATTTCATTGTCATTGTTCATAGATGTCATAGTTTTCCGTCTTCGACCATTCAATAGTCGGTTGTGCTGCGACAGTCACGTGCACCATAGTCGTTACCTCCGCTATGTGGCTCAGGACGATGCATAAAATTCATGCGTCGTTATGGTACCAAAAAGTCGTGCTCGTTGACCCCGTAGTGGTTTGCCAGGTAGTCGCTGTCTCCGTGGTTTGCCAGGTAGTCGTTGGCTCCGTAGTGGTTTGCCAGGTAGTCGCTGGCTCCGTAGTGGTTTGCCAGGTAGTCGCTGGCTCCGTAGTGGTTTGCCAGGTAGTCGCTGTCTCCGTGGTTTGCCAGGTAGTCGTTGGCTCCGTAGTGGTTTGCACCGTAGTCGCTGGCTCCGTAGTGGTTTGCACCGTAGTCGTTGGCTCCGTAGTGGTTTGCCAGGTAGTCGCTGTCTCCGTGGTTTGCCAGGTAGTCGCTGTCTCCGTGGTTTGCCAGGTAGTCGCTGTCTCCGTGGTTTGCCAGGTAGTCGCTGTCTCCGTGGTTTGCCAGGTAGTCGCTGTCTCCGTGGTTTGCCAGGTAGTCGTTGGCTCCGTAGTGGTTTGCCAGGTAGTCGCTGGCTCCGTAGTAGTTGGCTCCGTGGGCGTTGGCTCCGTAGTCGGCAGCTCTGTAGTCGAAGGCTCCACAGTCGTCACGGGATGCTCGTCCTTCTGACAAATGAAGCGATAGTAGCCGAGGCTGCAGTCGGCCGTCCGCCAGCCACCAGTGCCGCCTTCGTGGATGAGCGCGCACCTCTCACCGTCGCCGTGCGGCTGCAGCGGCTCCCAGTTGTGCCAGTCGTAGACGGATCCGTCCGACCAAACCCACGGCCGACCGGTGTCACTGCGGCGCAGGCCCAGCCAGCCGCTCTGATACTGCAGCACCTGCTCCGTCAGAAACGCGTTCACCTGTACATCGTGCACGGAGACGGGCCTCGAGCCGGGCGCCTGCAGCTCGCACACACTGGCTACAGAGCGCCACTCGAGAGGGAACGACGAGAACCAGTAGCACTGGCCGCGGTACAGCTGCCACTCGGGAGAGGGACAGGCGGCGCCGGCGGCGGCCAGCGCAGCGCACAGAGCCGTCAGACGGGCCAGCAGCGCCATGGTGATGAGGACGGAGCACTGTGGAGAGAGACGTCCACTCGACAGAGTGAGAGAGGGGGCGCTGGATGTAGAAATGTCCGCCCGACTGGCTGTGGTGACAGTGGCCAGTCGCCCTCACAGCGACAGGACGGTCGGCAGCCGTGGGTACAGCCAGCTGGTGGTCTTGTAACGTGGCACTGCAGTTTCTTATCCGCCTGCCGCCATTGGCAGCTGCTGGTGGCGAGTGTCTTGCCCTGGGAACGGGACAGGTGTGGACACAGCGTGTGCGTGAGATGAAGACGTCTTCTTTTGCAGACGGTTCAAATCATGGGCTGGAGCAGGGGCTCTACATTGAAACTGATGAATCATCAGTAGTCATTTCTACGCACCAGCATTGTCCCTCGACGTAGCGGGTCCATGAAAAAGACTCGATAAGACTTTGCCTACAAGCCTAGCCTACAAGCCTACCAGTAATACCAGTAATAAAAGTAATACCAGTAATATAATAGTTTAACCTAATTTGACTTATTTTCTTATCTCTTTTTTCTCTCTTTCCTCTCCCTCTCTCTCTCTCTCTCTCTCTCTCTCTCTCTCTCTCTCTCTCTCTCTCTCTCTCTCTCTCTCTCTCTCTTTCTGTCTCTCTACCTCTTATAGGTACAGTCCACAGCATAAGTAATGTGCGGTTTCAGTCCTGGGTATGTTCTGCTTCTGAAGCTTAGGGATGATTATGCAGACCACAATGAAACTTTGAATGGCTCTAACCTGTATCGTTACCCTTGCAGCTGCATCTTTATCGACGTCTTCTTTTCGATCGCTCCACATTAAAAAATCGGCAGTCAAAGCCATCCGTTCAGATTGGTAAAACCGCACATTACTTTAGCGGTGGGCTGTACATACCTACCTACCAGCAGAATCGAACATTCAAATGTCATTCTGTGATGCCAGGAGCGATCCCCTTGTCTATATGAACAGGTAAGTATACCAGTTCAATAATAGCCAAATACTAATCGACACTCACTTTATCGCACGCAAATTTATCAGCCGTCTGGCGTCTGTGATCGCTTGTCTAATCATGCCCTTTGAGCGCAAATTCTAATACCTACATATATTATCACTTTCGACACTTCATTATTACTTTCAGTACGAGAAAAGTCCCATGTATCGCACAAACATACTTGAACGATGTTCCTCCTGAGAGCACTCAATGTAGGTACCGAAAGTAAAAGGCTCAAAGCATTATCAATCGACCCGCCAACCACAGAGGACATTTTAACCCGCGCACCGACGGGGGGGGGGGCGGAATATCCGCCACCCTGAGGTTTTTCGTAGAATAGCGGGAAAACCGCGGCGCATAGCGCCGAGAAATTTAGTACGACTATTCTCTCATCAATTTTACACATGGTGTGCAAGTTTGAACCTCCTAACTTTTAAGGTCAGGTCACCAGGTCACTTTGAATGACCCAACCTCAAGTCACTTTTTTGCAAATTTGTCACCGTGCCAGAGCTACGGTAGGTGTCAGAGGCCTTTGAAAGTCGCAGGATGTTATATAAGGTCATTAGTAGCTACAATTTGTATATCTCGGAATTTTGACATCGATGACCTAACTTCAGGTCAATTTCTCGACCTCCCCATTAGGTACGAGAGTCAATGGGGGAAAATCAACTCCCTGTTTTTACCAGTAAACGGGTCGGAATGGCCCCATAAACCATACATGACTTCATATACGATCAACCTTACCTACCTTGAGGTCTGTTTTGCTGTTGGACAGCTGTAAGGTCATGTGACGTCATCAAAGGTCACCAAAGTTTTTTTTTTTTCCAATAACTCTGTATAGGAACAAGATACAGCCTCGCGGATGGTCTCATTGTGTTCAGCTCGTCAAGGGACGCATTGAATGATATACATGATGACCTCGAGGTCACGTGACCTGAGGTCAACCTTTGACCTTGACCTTTCGAGGTCAACATATATATCATTCGATGCGGATTGACGAGAGGATCACGATGATGCCCTTAGTTTGTTCCTAGTTTGACTAGTTCGAAAGTTATTTGAGAAAAACTCTCTCCATATCTAGCGCCGCCATTTTGACTTTTTTGACCCCTGTGACGTCATCTTTGACCTGACCTGAAAATGACCTTGTAGAAATTGTAAATCTTGTCCGTGCGTATCCCATGCCGTTTACCGCTTGTCGCTATCTTCTTGCTTCGTTCTCGAGATCTCAGGGGGGGGGGGCGGTCATCCGCCCCCCCCGTCGCGTCGGTTCTATAATAAGTTGGCGCAGACCCCCGTCGGTGCGCGGGCTAACAAATATTTCGAGGAGATGAGCTTGTGGTACATCGATGACCTTCAGAAAAAATAAACCTTTTTTACCTTTAGTTGCCATCTTCGAAACAACTGCTGATATTGTGTACGGTGCCATGTAAGACTCCAATACACCATGTGCCGACCACACCAAGGCCCTGACCACACTGGGCCTCCCGGTGTCTGCTGGAAACTAGCTGCGTTCAGAGAGTCGCGCGCCGATTCGCGCACAGAAGTATGTTATACGCATCACACAAGTACCCACGTGGGATAAAAGTACGAACGCAAACGCTCGTAGGCAAAAGTACATACGTTTAGGCGATAAGTACGCAAGAACAAAAGAACGCACGCGACGCGAGTGTTCGCACGCAAAAGAACGTATAGGCGATTAAAGGTAGTGTGCCACCTTTGAAAGATTTCCCATTTTATTTTTCCTAGGATAAGAAGCTTCTGTTTTTACCTAATATCGCAAAAAAAAAATCAAAAATGGGCCTGGAATAGTGCCTTTTTTGCCTAAAAGTTTTTCGGTTTTTAGATATGTATAACAACTGTAGTGGGCTCACCTGCAAACAGGCGTCGGGCAACAATCGCGAATGCGGCGCACTTGTGACAATAAGCAAAGGTCATTATAGTGTTACGACCATACGACGTACGGGAATGAGTTATCAGCTGTCTAATCGTAGACAACACAATGTCGAGCCTTAAACTGTAAGCCCGTATTGGTATTGTTTCTTTTATTTAACTGTCGAACATTATTTATGGTTTGAAATATGATTTTATGTAAAATAATTGATATGAAAAAGCCGTCTTATAAGTTATGACCCCATTTCACCACACGCAAGTGGCAGAAATGACAATGATCAGCTGACGCATTTTTCTTGGCCGAAGTCAGAGCGCGCGGCCCGACGCACCACGTGTATTTGGAAATTCCGACCTCGACGAGCATCAGAAGCCACCTAACAGGCGTGTTCGAAACCGCAGGAGATGATGATGAACGGGTTTATCGAAACTTGATTGGATGAGCATATCGGTAATAGCGATTTCAGTGTGTGCATTTATTGTTCATAGTGGTGTGAAATGTGGTTGGGGTACGACCGACAACCCGTCGGGGCGAATTTCGCACTGGGGTACTCAAAATTTGAAGAATTTAAGACGTTTCCATGAGTTTTGAAGGTATGGATAAGTTCTAAAAATCCGGTTCTCCTTATCTGGGCCATTAACTCCATACGGTCCAAGAAAGCTGGCACACTACCTTTAAAGTATTTAAGGACAAAATTACCTGTCACTGAAAACAACAGCCTAGGGATAGGCCGACTTGACCTAACCAAACGTAACCAAACCTAACATAACCCAACCTAACCTAACCCAACCAACCATAAACCAACCTAACCCAGCCTAACCTAACGAACCATACTTTTGTCCATACGTGCTTTATAGTTTGATACCTTATGCGTACGGTAGCGTACATAGGCGGCGGAACGGGGAGGGCACCGGGGCACCGTGCCCCCCCTTTGATTTTGGCATTTTAACATTAGCCCTATGGGCGTTGCGTGGAAAGAATGGGACCAAAAGTCGGCAGTGCCCTTCCCCCCCTCTAACCCGCGCCCCGTAGGGGGCCGAAACGGCCCCCCTTGTCCTTTTCCGTCGATATCTCCTAAACGGCTGGAGATATCGCCACCAAACTTTCAGGACCCCTCCGGGCATCAATTGTACACATTGTTACTAAAAAATTTCCAGAGGCTATGATAGGTTGGCCACAAATGACGTCAGAATGACGTCATGTTCTGTCAATTTCGACCGAAAAAAGACCTTCGCGAGAAGACCTGTCAGACCTACAGCTTTGAAGATACCGAAAAATGATCAAGACATAAAAGGTGTAGAATTAACAGGGCTACAAAACTGCTATCTCGGATTGAGTTTTGACCCCCAAAAATCAAAAAAGCATTTTTTTATATATTAGCCAAAGAATCTAGAAAGTTTTTTGAGTTTCGAAAATATCGGAATATGTGTGATAGTACCTACCGTGTTCTATGTACATACCAAATTTCAGATCGATACCTCGTTCTTTGGCCAAGTTATAGCGAAAAAACTGTTAAAAAATGATGACGTTAAATTTTCAAACTCAGTTTTTGGCAATTCTAGACATCTTAGAGCAAAACAAAGACCACCATTAGACTCCCCGTGACGAGCTGCATCGAACTGATACACATTTTATGCAAAAATATCAACTTTGAAATTTGACCTAATTTGACCTGACCTTGACCTGACCTTCACCAAAACGTGACCTAGGCTGGCCCCAAAGGCTGCCTAACCCACATAATCGCATTTGTCATGTAAAATGGACCATATTACATGTATCACACGACACTTTCATATTGTGACCCCGGTGACCTGGTCACCTGACCTCGCTGTGACCTGACCTGGTATCAGTAACCTCAGATAACAAAGTATGTGTTTGACGAACAATGTACCATCGATGGTTTTCAATAAGTTACCAATTTACTCGATTTCACAACACATTTCTTGAAATGCCTGTGAACGGTGAAAATCCGACCTTTGACCTGATCTGCGACGTCATCGGTTTGACCTTGGTCAATGAAATTTGGTTACAAGGTAGTTCCCGGGTGGGGCTATCGAACGCCGTTTAAATTTTGAAAATCGGCCGATAAATTTCCGAGATCTTAGGGGGGGGGGGGCCGAAACGCCCCCCCCCCTTACGGGTGGTAGGGTCCGCCGATAGCCCTACGGGGCGCGGGTTAAATTGAAGGTGTTCCGCCGCTACTGGTAGCGTAGTGCGTAATGTAATTACCTTCGGCCTATGTATTTTTGCTGACGCAATTTCGCCATGCGTACTTTTGCGATAAGTCCAACTTTTGGCTGCAGCCCTCGCTCACCGGACTTGCTGGTATATGCCGGAACCGATTGTTCAAGTTATGCGATAGAACTATGCTT